TTTACCTGCCATGGATAGATGCTGGTGGTTTTGGCACACGATGAGTTCTGGAAAGGCCCTTTTCCAGGCTCACAGCTGAGCAGGTTATGGAGGGAGTGGGCGATGGCGTACACAGCCTTATACACATTGTAGGTCACACGGAAGCTGGATGTGTTCAGGTAGGCAGAGTGCTGTTTCAGGAGGGGCTCCGACCCCGTGCAGGAGGGCAGCTCTGGGGAGACCGGGCTCCTGCCGGCTGGAGGCTGCATGGAGCAACCGTGCAAAGCGGCCCACAGCTCCTGCACTACGGAGTTGTTGGGGTACCTCAGCGGGTTCACAGTCAGCAGGTAGTCCCCCAGCCCAGGGATGTGACCTTGGCGAATGGCAAACCCAATGGTGCCACCCAAGTGTGGGTAGAACTCACTGCCTGCGAAGAGGGAGGCTGTTACCCAGGCTTCACTGGCAATCCACTGGATGCCAGTGATCTTCTGCTCTATGTACTCCTTCAGGAATGGGAACAGTTCCCCCTCACCAGAAAAGCAGATAAGAACTTTTGCTGTAGACCGCTTTATGACCTTAAGGATATCGTGGATTTTCCTCTTGTCGTACACTTTGGGTATCATTTCATAGTAGGCCAGACAAATCCCAGTGCTTTTGAATTCCTTCAGCAGACCCTGCACTGCGTACCTGCCATAGTCGTCGTCTTCAGTGATTATGCCCACCCACGTCCATCCAAACCTCTGTAAGAGCTGGACAATCGCTTTTACCTGGTAATCGTCGTTGGGAATTACCCGGAAAAATGTGGGGTATTTATCTCTGTTGCTGAGACATGAGCAGCTTGAAAAATAGCTGATCTGGGGAGCAATGAGCAGCAAAGATTTGTATTCCTGCATAATTTACAAAAATATAATTGCTCATAAAACAAGATTTTGAAATGGTGCAGGGTGTTCCAAACATTCTGATATAATGTCCTAAAGGATGTATTTTCATCACCTTTAAGTTTAATCCTTTAGCATTTTACTCACCATTTTTTATTATTTATTCTTCACTGAACACTGGCACAATTTTATAGGTCATCACATCATGTTAAAAATAAACATCATTACATTTAATCATACAACCCCATTTCCAAAAAAGTTGGGACTTTGTAAAACAAAAATACATAAAAACAGAATGCAATGATTTGCAAATCACATAAACCCATATTTAACTGAATACAGAACAAAGACAATAGATCAAATGTTGAAAGAGAAATTTCATTGTCTTATGACAAATATATACTCAATTTGAATTCAAAGTGAATACATATTTGTCATTAAACAATAAAATTTCTCTTTCAACATTGGATATGCTATCTTTGTTCTGTTTTCAATGAAATGTGGGTTTATATGTTTTTATTTACATTTTACACAGCATCCCAACTTCTTGGAAACAGGGCTGTAGAATAAATGATTACCTCAATTCATGACATACTGACTTCAAGAATATTCTATTTTTAAGACCATAGTGCCAGGCATATTGTAAATGTCGCAATTATGTATCTATTGAAGCATGCAAATTCTGTAAAGTGCTGCATAGTTCTTAATGCAGTGATTTATTCACAATAAATTTTAATTCAGTTCATTAGTTTTAATTAAAACTAGAAGAATCTCCACTGAATCTCCACGGTGAAAAATGCATCACATTCTTGGAGAACGACACAGAGGACCAAAGGAAAGCAGGGCTGGAATACATACCATAGGAATTCTGAAGGGCTGCAGAGTGTCTGAGACAACAATGGACTGAGACGACCCGGAATCTCCGATTACGGCCAAGAGAGGTGCGGCGCTGGAACACAAGGGACTCTGGACTAATTCTGGTCCATTCAGAGCCCCCAGAGCCGCACGCTGCCCTCCCACATGAGTTGCACAGGAGTCAAAGATCCTGTAGCCCAGAGTGTGGTGGGGCAGCAGGTTCTCACTCCGGTTGATCTCCTCTACAGCAAATCTCATGGTCTGGGCCCATCGGAAAGCCCTGGGGTCAAACCTGCAAAGACACCAGCAGTCAGAAAGGAGTAGCAGCTGTGGGAGAAGAGGCAGTAGGTCTCCCTGCTTTATGGGATAATTAAAAATACCCCCAAAAAAGACAGAGAAGAAACCAAAACGTAAACAAGATCAGGTCACCCCAGGCACTGCGCGTCAGCTGGTTTGTGTGTGTAATTCCAGTATGACATCTCCACCCAGTAGTGCAGGGGAAACAGTCCTGCAATGGTAAACTTTCCATCAGCCTGGAAAGTTGGATCAAAGTGGCCCAGCAGAGAGCAGCTGTAGGCTGTGGTTTGGGTGGTGCTGGCAAGCTCAAAGAGGGAGACGTGGTAAAACAGGGACCACATGAGCAGAGACGCCATCTTCTGACAGGCTGGTGTCACATTGGGGGTGGGCAGAGCCAGAAGGGCTCTTTTATCCACCACCCTCTCCACCTTGTACCTCGATACACATCCCTCTGGGATCATCTGTCGCCAAGAGGACTTGCGACATCACCATCCGTGAACTGCCCGTACTGAAGGTTGGGTCACAAACTGAGTGATGATATTAAATCATAAATGAATTTGAAGTGACTGCATATTCAGTCCAGGTCACTGTGCTTCAGGCTCTATTCACAAAGGAGATAAGGTTGAGCACACCTTGAAAATATTTATTATTCTGTTTACCACTGATCTGGATTTATTTTGGATATCCCCGTTTTGGTTCCCCGGTTTGCAGTTGTACTACACCCAAGAGGAGAGTGTTATCCCCGCGCTTTTTGGCCCGCATGGCCACCACCTGCCATTAGCAACATGAGTCACAGGCAATGGCATGGATTTGGGTATGGATGGTAGAGACAAGTCCCTGCCAGTATTGTAGGGGTACCGTGCATGCGTGTAGCCACCTGGTAAAATAACTATAAAAAATGATAGCCTGCTTGTGAAATCATGTGTCTGAAACCCCCTCATAATTTTCGAATTATGCCAATAAAATCCACAGATGGGATACCCCCGCTTGTCACGCCCCCCTCGCGGAGGCGGTAACCGCAGCTGAGTCATCTTAGGACTAATCAGTAGAACTCCTTACTTAAGCCTCGCTCTGGCGGCAGTGCGGTGCGAGGTATTGTTGGCATGCTACTACTGAGTGTTCTAACTCTTTGTTCTTCCTACGGTTACGTTACGTTACGTTCTGTCCGTCTGGCCACTCTCGAACTTCCCGCGCCTCCTGCCTGCCCTCCTCTTGCCCCCATGAAGCCCCTCATGGATTCCCCTTCTTTGTTCGTCCGCGGCTGCTGACTGACCCCCCCGGCCCCTCGATGCTCGGCTCCTCCCTTAACAACTTCGACTTTGGATCCCCTCTTGGGTTCTAGTTAAGACCCTGCAACATCTTCTCACCCTTCCCTGTTTTGCCCTGAATAAAACTGGTTGCCTGGAATTCCCTGTCCTGGTCTTGTTTGATAGAACACCACTCCCCAGTCAGCGAATTCTACGTACTCCCCAGCTGGCAAAATAAATGGAGATTTTTGCTGACTAAGGGCTTAGTACCATGTTTGTTTAGGGAGACAGGGGGTTCGGGGCTGATTTGATCCCCACTGATGTTGAAACAAAATCTGCGGCCTTGTTCTCAGGGGTATCAAACAGCCAGAAGCATTCAGGTTGACAGCTAAAACAGATGGGACAGAGCCGTGTGGTAGAACCAGCAAAATGGTGCCAAGCCACAACACTGTGCCTCACTACAGTGACCAGAGGCTATTTCTTGGGATGGCTGAATATGTGTACCTGTGCACCTAGTGCAGTGTTTCAGATCTAGGTGGGTCTGGAGCTTCTTCATGACCATAGCACCACCTAGCGTGGCAGGAGCTGTCGAAGCCGGCCATGTGAGTCACTCCTTTCTCCATCTTTAGATGGCAGTGTCACTGCTGATATCTTCAGCCATTGTTTGTTTAATCCGCCATTGTTTAATCCGCCATTGTTTGTTTAATCCGCCATTGTTTGTTGATGTCTCAGGATTCAGTCATTGTCCACAGGTCTGCCTGTTCTATAGACAAAACCATCATCCAGATAAATGATGATACTGAGAAGCCAGCTTAATCTGCAGCGTTTTGACTCAGTCCTCTGGTATGTGAATTCATTTCAAAGTAATAAAGTATTTGCTTAAATTAATGGGGTATTTTGACAGGTCTTCTGAAACTTCAAACTGTGGGTTTACTCATTTTAGGTCCATGCTACATATTCTTCAAGTACAGTACCTGATTTCCTAAATGCATATGAAATGGCTACATGTCGGGCAATGCATTGTGGGCCATCAAGTGCCAAAGAATGCTTCCCTGTGATTGGGCAGCTCTCTTTACTTGTGGGATGAGCCTTTTGCTCTGGGTTTATATAGAGTGCCACCTCAGACCCCTCCAGCCTCTCTGTAGCGATGGCGCTCCTGGCTGCCTGGCTCCTGGCCTCGTCTCTCCGCTTCATGTTGGTCAAGGTCGGCGAACCCATGTCTGCAGCATGTGTGTTCCAGGGAGAGGAGGACACCCGGAACCTCTACAAGGAAGGAGACGTTGTTATTGGAGGTTTATTTCCTGTACACTACAGTCCAAGATCTTTTAAACCTTCTTATCAGAAGAAACCTGAGCCCACTGAATACAAGTAGTAAGTGATATGCTTTGTTATATATGCAGATGATCTAGGTGTACAACACATCGACCATGAGTGCTCCGTCCTAACTGCTTCCTCTCCATATGACCAGCTGCTTCTGGAACTTTCTCAGTTTCAGTGCCAGAGCCCTGCGATGGACACAGACGATGGCCTTCGCTATTGAAGAGATAAACCAACGGCGGGACCTACTTCCCCGTCTAAAGCTGGGCTACCACATTCGCGACAGCTGTGATGACATCCCCGTGTCTCTGAGAAGTTCCCTGCTCCTCGTAAGTGGACCTCCCGACTTGAATGCCAACTCCGCCTGCCGAGGGGTGCCCAGGCCCGTGTCGCCCGTCATTATCGGAGACGCCGCTTCAGGCGTGTCCATGGCCATCCTCAGAACCCTCGGCTCCTTTGGAATCCCCCTGGTGAGACACCTCCACACTGTATCTCAGTGCCTGTGAATATCACTGTTTTCTTAGCTTTCAGGCAGAATTCAGGCTTCTGCTGGGCTAACTGCTGATTGGTCCTTTTTCAGGTGAGTTACTTTGCCTCCTGCAATTGCCTCAGCAATAAGAAAGAATTTCCGACGTTTATGAGGACGATGCCTAGTGATGCTTTTCAGATAAAGGCCATAGCTAAGCTCATCAGGTACTTTCACTGGACCTGGGTCGGGGTGATAGGGGTGGAGTCGGACTACGCCCGCTTTGCCATACAGCTATTCCTGGAGGAGTCCTCCAAGTATGGTGCGTGTGCCGCCTACGTTCACTTTTACCCAGTGCTCCTCTCCAAGGAGTCCATTGCTGACCTGATGCAGACCATCAGGGGATCCACTGCCAAGGTAATCCTGAATTTCTCCGGGGAATCAGAGCTACAGACGATCTTGACGGAGTGTCGGCGGCAGAACATGACGCACATCCAGTGGATCGCCAGTGAGGCCTGGGCCACGGCTAAGTCCCTGTGGGGGGAGTTTCAGGGCCTGCTGACGGGAACTTTGGGCTTCGCCATACGCAAGGCCGAAATCCCAGGCCTGCAGGGCTTCCTGACCCGGGGGCTGCTGGTCCGAGCCCACCAGTCCCCATTCTTTGCAGAATTATGGGAGGAGACGTTCAACTGCAAGCTGAACGTCTCGTTGAACCGGCATGTGCACAGCGATGCGGCCCTGAGCAGGAGGCCATGTGCCGAGGAGGAGGAAGCCCCAGAGGCTGTTCGCTCTGACTACTCCGACGTCTCCCAGCTGCGTGTGTCCTACAACGTGTACAAAGCCGTGTACTTGGTGGCACAAGCTCTGCACGACATGAGCGGCTGCACGAGAGGGGCAGGGCCTTTCGAGAATGGCACATGTGCGGACCCCGAAAACGTCCTCCCTTGGCAGGTGACCTGAACTAGACAGTAGCACCAAGATACACAAATAGGGAACAGGGCATTGCTTACTAATGGGTCTAATAAAACATTTTAATGTTATGTATCTGCATGCATCCATCTCACTGTTTATATTTCACATTTGGCTGATGGGTGCCATGAATATTTTGCTTAGCATAGTAATTCCTGCAGCTGAAGCCATGTAAAACAAACAGACCTTAGCATTTTGATGGAAGTCTGGCATATAATATTTATTGTGTATTAGTGTCATCTGATTTGATGCTCTGCAGCAGTGCTGTGATATCTGGCATTGATCAGCTGATCAATCAATAAGAGGCTAATTGACTAAATGGCTAAGTGTTCCTCACCAGTGTCTCTTGCTTTCCGTCCTCAGCTCCTACACTACATGAAGCAAGCCAGCTTCAACATGTTGGGGGAGCAGGTCAGCTTCGACAAGAACGGGGACCCCATAGCCTCCTATGACCTCATGAACTGGCAGAAGGGGCCAGACGGTTCCCTGCAGCTAGTGAAAGTGGGGTTCTACGACACCTCACTGGGCGGGGAGAAGGAGCTCGTCATTAACGATACGGCCATCTGGTGGCACTGGGGCCAGCAGGTTTGTCCCGTCTCCCTGCTGACGAGATGCACGGCACTCTGCCTGTCTCTCATATGTTCCCTCGGCCCTTGGCTGTGTGGAAATGCCCTCCTGTTTTTGCAGCTGCAACTAACTTCAGCAGACATTAGAATCGCAGTGTAATGTGGATGAAACTCCGTCCCAGCATCAAAATGGACAATCAGCGCAGCCTCCAAATTGCGCAGCTAAGTCACTGAGCTACTGTTCTGACTGCATAACAATCATGAGTGAACCCGAATGACTGAGTGCCGAGTCTGCATTTCTATGGCGTCCCACATTGTGACATCATTCGATGCCCTTCACGCCATACTCACTGGTATGCTGAAACTGTCCTTCCCTATCTCATCATGACACCCCCCGTGAGACTAACACGCTGACTGATGCTCGCGCTACACGCGAGGAGCACGTCCGCCTGTGAATTAACTGCGAACCGTGGCCGACGCCCTCCCTCCCTAGGGCCCCCCCGCATCTGTGTGCAGTGCAAGCTGCACCCCCGGCTCCAGAAAGGCCACTCGCAAAGGAGAGCCCATCTGCTGCTTTGACTGCCTTCCATGCACCGAAGGGGAGATTAGCAACGAGACCGGTATGGGAGGTGCTGATTGACAGTTCAACCTTAAAGGAGATGTGATTACACTGGGCTACCTTAAAAAACATGTGTGATTGATGACTGTGTATTTACATATCTGCCACATGTTCTCTTTCTCCCTCCTGCAGACTCTTTGGATTGCAGGAGATGCTCTGTGGAGACATGGCCTAACGAAGCCCAAGACCATTGTGTGCCCAAGACCACTGAGTTCCTCTCTTACCATGGGTCAATGGGCATAGTGCTGTGTACATGCTCCTTGTTTGGTCTCTTTGTGACCATGGCCATATTTGGGGTATTCGTCGCCTATAGGACCACCCCAGTCGTCCGTGGCAACAACATGGAGCTGAGCTTCTTGTTGCTAATCTTCCTCAGCGTCTGCTTCCTGAGTGGCCTCACCTTCATCGGTGAGCCCACTGACTGGCTTTGCCGCATCCGCTACACCACGTTTGGGATCAGCTTCTCCCTCTGCATCTCTTGCATTCTTGCCAAGACAGTGGTGGTGCTGATGGCGTTCCGGGCCACCCTGCCAGATAGCCGAGTCATGCGGTGGTTTGGGCCGGCCCAGCAGAGGGCCAGCGTGTTCCTCTGCACCTGCATCCAGATCGTCATCTGTCTGATCTGGCTGACCACAAGACCTCCCTTAGCTGTGAGGAACACCAGGCACCACAGTTCCCGGATCATACTGGAGTGTGTGGTGGGTTCGGATGTGGGGTTCTGGTCCGTTCTTGGCTACATTGGACTCCTGGCCTGCCTCTGCTTCCTGCTGGCCTTCCTGGCCAGGAAGCTGCCCGACAACTTCAACGAGGCCAAGTTCATCACCTTCAGCATGCTCATCTTCTTCGCCGTTTGGATCACCTTCATCCCAGTGTATATCAGCACGTCTGGCCAGTACATGGTGGCCGTCCACATTTTCGCTATCTTAGCGTCCGCTTTCGGCATCCTGCTCTGCATTTTCGCCCCAAAGTGCTACATTGTGTTACTGAAACCAGAAAAAAACACCAAAAAACAAATGATGCTAAAAAAATAACTATACCCTGCCCTCACTGTGGCCAGAAGCCCAGTCAGTAGCATTATAATCCTTGCTCATCCTTCATAAATCAATGTATATAAATAAAATCAACGCTTGTATCAATGTCTAATGTACATATATGATCTAGAATTCAGTTAGTGGGGTCACTGTTTATTTTGACTCCTGTCTTTGCTTTTCAATGCAAAAGCTGTTTTTTTTTTGTAAAAATGAAAATAAAAGTTCAACATCTGCAGTGTATGTATGTGTGAAAACATGGTTTTTGAGCATAAATAAAGGAAAACCATCCAGCAGAACACAGCTGGATCTCTGGGCAGTGCAGAGGAAAGTCTGTCTGTCTTACTGCCCTCAAATGCATTATCTGAGACTTGGCAGCTGCCACCATTTCTGCAATAGCTGGTCCCAGTTACCAGGTTTGAGTAATTCAAAGCAGACAGAGTGACACGTGTTGGCACAGGTGTAAATGGACAGTTGGGCATGTTTAGCACACAGACATAAGATCGTTTATTTTAGAGTTTTAGGGAAAGCTGTCACTGACTTCATGCAGATGGGGTGAGAGGTAGCTGTTTACTCTCTCTGTTTATTGCCTCAGGGACAAAGCAAATAAATGGATCTTTTTAATGAACCGATATGGGATGGGCTCAGGTTTCTGGGAAATCAGGTGTGCTTGCGACCGTGGGGGAAAGGTCCTCTGGGCCGTGGCAGGTGGTGCAGTCTGCACAGAGAAAAGCCTGTGTAGCAGGGGAGAGACGCACCCGGCAAGGGTGGGTGTGACTCAGCACCCACGAGGAGTCCCAGCTCACAAAAGCTCACCTGCACATCTTTTCTTTGTTGTGGTGAACTTGATTATGCCAATCTCCCCCTAGCAACTGGACTCCACTAACTTCAAAACACTGAATGCAATGCATCAATGAAATATGTGCAAGAAATATAGTATACAGCAATCATACATAGAGACCCATAGATCTAGAACATGTCTAGAGAGGGTAAATATTGTTTTTAATGGTTTGGTATGTTAGGCTCAAGCCCGTCATATTTGCTACATTCTGTTGCTACATACTATGACAGAAAGAATTAAACTCAGGGTTGGGGAGTTAATGAGTGTTTCAGAGAATTAAATTATTACCAGGAATTTCATATGACCCAATGCCCATTAAAACATAAAGAAGAAATCATTGTTCATGAATTAATACATATACAGTATATATAAGTGATAAACAGTTTAAATGTCATAGATGTTTTGAGGACATTTTCCCCATAACATGTCTCCTTGTATTTCTTTCTGGTTTAAGTAAAATTATATAACATTTCGGAACAAAGATACAGGCTAGTAATCCAAATGTGGAGGACAAGATCGCAAATATTTCAACTGCCACTGTGTATTTTCCAGGCGAGCTTACGTACGCTGGAATGAAAGTAAGCCAGACAGCGCAAAATATGAGCATACTGAAGGTAATGAACTTGGCTTCGTTAAAATTGTCAGGCAGCTTCCTGGCCAGAAAAGCCAGCATGAAACAGACAGCTGACAAGAGACCTATATAACCCAACACTGCATAAAAGGCGGTTTCAGATCCCGGGTTACATTCTAGAATGATCTTTTTGTTGCTGAGTCTCAGGTTCTGTTCAGGAAAGGGTGGTTTTAGACTGAGCCACAGAGAACAGATGAGGATTTGCACTGCTGTACACAAGCACACTATCGCCCTCTGCTGGGCGGGGCCGAACTTCCTGGCCATATTGTTATTGGGGAGGTTTGCCCTGAATACCGCCACGACCACCATGGTCTTGCCCAGCACGCAGGAGATACAGAGGGCAAAGGTCACCCCGAAAGCGGTGTGACGCAGCATGCAGGAGGAAGCCGTCGGCCTGCCGATGAAGGCGAAGGGGCACAGGAAGCAGAGTAGCAGGGAGAGTAGCAGCAGAGAGCTCAGCTCCGAGTTGTTGGCCTTCACCACTGGCGTGTCCCTGAAGCGAGCGAAGACGGCCATGACCACGAAAGCCAGGCAGGCACCACACAAGGACAAGGCTGTGAGTGTGATGCCCATGGTGTCTCTGTAGGACAGGAACTCCATTTCCTTAGGGATGCACCGGTCCTTCAAGTCACTGGACCAGTAGGTTTCTGGACATGGAGTACAGTCACTTGCACCTGTAAGTACAGCAAAGGAGACTGTGTGGGGGACTCGCTCAGTGGCTATTCACACCAACACTTCCTTATGTACTTAATGCCCTGGTCATGTGACATAGCATACCACCATTCATACACAGCATGCTAAACCCTAGCATTTCATACTCCTCTGTTCTTGGGTGCACAGCACATTCTACCTGTGGTGTTAGCGATTGTACCGTCAGCACAGGGGATGCAGTCGAAACAGCACACCGCTCTGCCTTTGATCTGCGCTTTTCTCTTACCAACAGGGCAGATGGCTGAGCAGAATCCTGCAGGAACCTGACAGAAGAAATACACTCTTTTAGTCACGTACGAAAAATGAAATCCTGGCACCTCAGCAAGTGCTGTAGGCCTTTGCGAAGTGAGATGGCATGTACCAGTTTGCCTGTATGCCAGATGATGTCGTTGTCTTTGATTTGCAGCTCATAGCTGCCATTGGGGGCTGGGCCAAAATGACCCACGGTCACATGCTGGACCCTTCCACCAATAAGCTGCCAGTTGACAATATCATAGGAAGGAGGGGGATTTCCATTCTCATCAAAAAACACCATTTCCCCAAAACTGTTTATGAAATGCACTTTCTTGAGATAATTTGTGACCTTAATAAGAGAAAGATTAAAAAACCAATATAAAAAGCCATTAAAATCTACAATAATGAAACCTTCCATTTCTTTTCCAAAGTCACATAAGAGAAATTAATGGACAAATGCACTCATTATACATATATTACTGTGGTGTTCCTCGCAGCTCTCCACTCTCCACCTCACCTGCTGGGGCTCAATTTGTGAGACATTTACACAGAGACTGGAGGCACCATCTGGACTTTGCGTCTTACAAAAAATCAGCTCATGAAGGGAGTGGGCGATAGCATACACAGCTTTGTGCACATTGTAGGTCACCCTCAGCTCTGTGACGTTGAAGAAAGGGTTCTGTGACTGATCCAACGTCTCATTCCCGGTGCAAGCTCTGGATTCGCCGGCCCCATATTTCAAACGTGGGTCACAGCCCACCATAGATTCCCAGAAGTCATTTACAAAACCAACTTCTGGGTCAAGGGTGGGTCTTATGTTAACCAGGAAATCTCTCAGTTTTGGTATTGCCATTTTCCGTGTCACATATCCAATGGCACCACCAAAAGACTGAAAATTTTCTGGGGTGGAAGGTCGAGCTGCAGTTATCCAGGCTTCACTTGCTATCCACTGGATGCCTGTGATGTTCTGAAGGACCACCTCCTGCATTAGAGGGTAGAGATCACCTTCCGGAACGAACGCCAGGATGACTTTTACATCGGATTGTTTAATCGTTTCAACAACCTTGAGTATTTTATTCCTGGGGTAAGTCCTCAGAACCGTCCCTATAAAAGCAAGGCACACTCCCATTTTTTGCACTTCCTCAGTGAAGGACTGGATCCCATTCCGGCCATAGTCATTATCAGACTGAATGGCACCAATCCAAGTCCACCCAAATCGCTTGACGAGAAATGCCAGAGCCTTTGCCTGGTGATAATCACTTGGAATGGTCCGGAAAAACGTGGGGTATTTCCTCTTGTTGCTCAGGCAGGCACATGTGGAGAAGTAGCTGACCTAAAGAAACACAAACACACACACACACACCTATACACATATATATGAAAGAAAGTAGGGGAACACAAAGATTCATTTGATTGCCTTTTGAGAGTGACTCAAGTTTAGCAGTCTACATTAAATTATTCAGGCAGCCTATGTTTACACACAGAGAGGGTGAAATTTTACCATTGGCACATGGAAGGGGCCAAGCAACCCGGCTACTGCAATAGACTGTGATGAACCTGACTCTGCAATGACCGCTGATAATGGTGGATAACATGCCTGTGGAGCCTCCTCTTCTTTCTTCTGCCCATCTAATAATGTGAGTGTGGCTTGCAGAGTTCTGGTTGGTGAAGCACAGGAATCATAAATCTGGTATCCCAGCGATACATTGGGCAGTAAGGTATTGCTGTTGTTAATTTCATCGATGGCAAACATCATCATCTGTGTCCACCGAAAGGCTCGAAGGTCGAATCTGTGGGGGGGAAGATGGCGATGGATACAAACCGCGATGATACAGATAGCGACAGCAGTGGGACACAGCGGCGTTTCGTTCTGTGGCTGGGAACCGCTCCCGTCAGTCACTCACCCGATGCACTTCGCTGGAGAGGGCTTAGCTTGGTATGATGGGTTCATATAGTCTTGCTTGTTGAAAACGGGGAAAATCCCTCCAATCATAATATCTCCACGCCTGGAGAGACTTGGCATCCCAAATGTCCCCAGCTGCTTGCATTCAGGATGCCCCTCTGCCTGGGACCAGAGCAAAGACAGGACACAAAGCCAACTTTCCCCGAGTTGGCCCATGGTGATCCTATCCAAACACTTAGTGCTGTGATGTCCCGCCTTTATATAGAGCTTGGCACCTTTCAGGAAGCCCGGGAGCAGCTGAAAGCAGAGGCGTAGCAGGCAGAATCTGCCCAAGCTTTGTCCCTGGAGGCCAATACGACCTTGCAGTAACAAAGAGAGCCAATGTTAATTATGAACTACCAGGGCATGAATCTGATACATATGGTGTTTAGAGGATGCAGATACATTGTTACCTTACCCAGACTCAGATGTGTCTATATTTGCATCACGTCTTCATATTTTTAGATGTTAAACCTATTCAAAGAAAAACAGTTAACGTGATGGGTTTAGATGAGCTACAGAGACATACATTGAAACATTGACAAAAAATGTCACCGGCAATAAATAATGCATTGTGGAGATTAACAGTCATGTAACCATTTGGCCTGCAGTGGTCAATTGTTGAAGGAACAATGAACAACTTGCTTCACCTGACCAGCATCATGTGACAGGAACAGGCGTACTTGGTGCCTTGGGTGAAATCTGAGCCACCATCTTCATTATTTTAATAGCTAAGTAGCTCTGGTTCTGCTGTCTTGGGAATGTATTATTGTCGTTCTGACAGCATCTAGGTTGTATGTCTTGTAGGGCACAGAGAATGACTATGGTATAATCCACACCCTTTTAAGATGGGGCACTGGGCTATGACGTTTCACCGTTCAGAGGGTCTTTTATTCCTTGTTCTATTTTAGCTTGTTTTTTTTTCAGTACAGATTAAAGGATAGTTTGTTGATGGTTTTCGTGCCTCACTTCATTGGTGACCCCAATGGCTCCAGATGCATTGTGGAGTACTTTATATGTGTCGTGATCATGGCAGAGAACACGGCAGCGTTTGAACTTCTGGAGTGGACAAGCCGAAGTTTGGTTCCTGCAGGTGGAGGCTCAATTCACTTTGTGTGGCATCACAAATGACAGCACCAAGCATCACTACGACATTGTAGTGCTGAACCATACTTTTGCAGACAGACTGGGCTCGCCGGCTTCTTTCCCTTCCTGGCTTGGGGGATTCTAAGGCTTCCGAACTAATGGGCTTCCTGGGTGGCCACCCGCCATGTTTCCTGTTTAAAGAGTAGTTGCTACAACGGTTGGCAATTGACATGCATGTGGCATTAGCGAGTGCAAGGGAGACCAAAAACGTTTTTTGGACCTGGCAAACAGTGCACAGAATAGCACTGACACAGAGGCCCACTCAACATGCCTCACTGCCAGCGTAATTGTGTAGCGCATGCACCTATTGTAACTTTGCTTTGACCATGGCCAGTTTGGCATGGCTGCAAAGAAGTCTTGGCCTCCATACTGCTCTGGCAGGTCGGGAAATGGTGCAACTGGCATGCATTAGCTGCTATGAACACCAGCCAATTCAGCTGCCTGCTATACATCACAGATTCCATTTCTGTTCAGTGTTTCCTGTGTGATATGGGTGCCTAAGTCAGCGTCCTGCTGGCTTCTGCCCTTCTTCCAGCTCTGGAAGTAGCGAATGGCAGTCATATTAAGGTTTATGGCATGCTTAATGTAACGCTGTTTCGCTGGCCAGAGGTTCCAATGGACTTTTCTGGCTGTGAAAACAGTGTAAACTGCTGATTTTCTGTACACTAACGATATCCTGGTTGATATGAAAAACAGCCACCTGTTCCATGCCCAAACTTTTCACTCCCTCCCATGGATGCACAGTGCAGCTAGCTTGATCCAGTTGTCCAGTACTTCTCTCGGCTCCTCGCTGAGTTCCCAGACCTAACCAGGCATACTTTCTCGTCATGCACAGCCAGGCATGGTACAGAGCACTACATCATGACAGTTGGCCAACCTGTCCACGCCTGGACCAGAAGCCTCAACCCTGGTAAATTGGCAATTTCCAAGGCTGAGTTTGTGGTCATTTATGCCTCTCAGCTCCACATAGTACAGATACCCAGCAGTGGGTGGCACCTGTGTGGTGATTACCACATCTCCATTTTGCCAGGACCCCAGACAGTTACCCTATCCCTCTTGTTCAGGATTTATCAGCCCATCAGGTTGGATGGTCCATAGTTTCCGAGGTGGACCAAGTACACAGCTACCCTCAAGTCCCAGTCCACCCTGAGGACATCCCACTGTCATCACCTGTTTGGGCATTTTGAATTCAAGGACATGCCGTTTGGTTTTAAAAATGCAGCCTAAACTTTTCAACGTCTGATGGACAGGTGGGATTTGCCGTTCTTGTTCATCTATCCAGATGACATTCTGGTCGCCAGTGCCTTCCAAAGCGAACATTTGTACCACTTGTACACATGTTTCGTTTGAGCACCTCAAAAATCATGGGCTTATTCTCTACCCACACAAGTGTTATTTTGGGTTGCCCTCAGTTGCCTTCCTTAGCCACTGTATTACTAAGGAGTGTTTTCTAGTTCTTGCTGAAGTTCAGGCTAGTACAGCTTTTCCCCAGCCTGTCACAGTCAAACCCCACCGGAGTTTCTGGGTATGGTGAAGTTTTATCACTGTTTCATTCCCCAGGTGACCTGCCTGATGTAATCCCTGCATGACGCGCTCGAAGGTAAGGCAGCTAAGCAGTCACTTGAATGGTCGGCTGAGTGGACTGCGGCCTTCGCAGCCACCAAGTCTGCATTGGCAGGCTGGGGTTCTATTTTGGTTTGTTTTTTTGGTTCGGATCAAAGTCAGTCAAGTGCCAGTGTTTGCTTCTCACTTCAGTCCCTTGCTCCAGTCCTGGCTTGCATTTTGATACTGATCACTCACTGGAGGCTTGGCCTAGCTGCAGCCTAAATAGGTTTCTTGACAGCTGTAGACTTTGTAAAGTATTTTCTGCCTTACTGTATATTACACCTTTGACAAAAATGCTTGCAAAATGCCCGTAACTGCAACATTAGTGGAAAGTGAAGGAAATCTGAGTGGATGTGAAAGTCTGTGTATGGTCAGTGTACCATCACTCGTACAATAATCTATAGGACAAAGTAACATTGGAACAGGACTAATGCAGATGAATCTCTTTCAAGATGTATTTTTCATGTGTATGGAAAAAATCATCCAGATGCGTGAGTTATGCCTGAAAGTAATAGGATACGCTACATGCCACAGTTTTTTTCTGGTAAATATATTTAAACCTGACACCTGAATTATAACTATCAAATATTGATTTCGACAAACTTCTAAAGAACACAGAACAGCATAAATTTACTACATCTGTAAAAATTTCATTAGTTCCTTATTATTTTAAAAAAACAAATCATAAATTGCAACAATGGAAGGAAAGCGTAAACAATGATTTTATTTATTATGTCTTCAGAAAATATCTCTGGTCACATTTCTGCAAGATTACAATCGAAAATATGTAAATATTATAAAAGATCAGAGTGTTTATTCCCAATATAAAAACCAAAATGTAAGAGCACAGTAAAAAGCAAAGAGTTAGGAAATGTATTGAAAGTCATTTTTTTTCTTAATGAAATTACAGAGATTTTGATGCCATTTTGCCCATTAAATGTTTCTTTGAATTTAGTTCAGGCTTAAAAAGAATAATATAACATTTGGGCAGAAAAATTGAGAAAAGTAAACCAAAACTGGAAGCTAAAATGGCAAATATCTCGACGGCCACAGTGAACTTCCCAGGTGAGCTGACATAAGCTGGGATGAAGGTGATCCAGACGGCACAGAATATGAGCATGCTGAAGGTGATGAATTTGGCTTCATTGAAGTTGTCAGGCAGCTTCCTGGCCAGAAAAGCCAGTACAAAGCACAG